TCTGGAAGCAATATTTTAGTCTACCAAAAGAAAATGTAAACGTCTATATTCAAAATTAACTAATGATATAAAGTTAAAAGAAAAATAATTTAAATATATTACTAAAAAAATATTCAAAAACAAAAAACCTGCTTTGGTTCGTTATTACTCTGAATAAAATTTGAAGGTTTTACAGCTAAAGCGAACCAAGTCAAAAAAATAAATAAATTGTTCATTTTATGACTAAATATTATTGATGTTTCGCTTGTAATAAGCAACTGATGTTGATAGCTTTGGAAAAGGCAATGCTTTTTGAATGTCGAAAGTACAGAAATAGTGCTCATCAGATGGCACTTCTGTATTCAGTGAGTCTCGAGCTAGCTGTGCTGCTTTTAAGTGAAGTTCCTTTTGCCAAATTAAATTTGTATTTTCGTCTTCATCGAATTTTATTTTCATGTTAAGTTCATCACATATTCGAAAGTTATCCTTATTCGGTCAGTGCTCCAGTGGTCCATTCCAACAAGTACCTCCCCCACAAAGGGTAAACATTTTGAATAATTACAACTCTTATAAAATGTGATGAAATTTTCCGATTGTGTTCAAATTACACAGATCAGAATATTTTTATTAACCCACGCTCTGCTGTGAATATGGAATATATCGCTCCACTACCTCTGGTATCATCCCCACAAAGGGTCAACATTTTGAATATCCATGAAGCTCATAAGATGCGATATTATTCGATTTCATTCAGATTGGGTACATTTCAAAATTTCCTTCAACACAAGATCTGTTATAAAGATGGTAGAGATCGGACCATTTCTTCTGGTACCTTTCCACACAGGGTTCAAGATTTTGAAAAACAAAACTGAAAGAAAACGAAATAATCATCCAACTCCCTTTAGATTTCACACATACAAACATTTTCGCTAACACAATATTTGTTGTGAAGATGGAATATATCTGCGAACCACTTCCGGTACATCACCCACAAGGGGTCACAATTATCAATGCCTTTATCTGTCATAACTTGCGAAACAAGTCGATGATTCTTTACAACTTGCTATATCTAAATATTTCTCTCAACCAGAAACATGAGATGAATATGGAATAATGTAAGATTTTCTTGTAATTGTGCCCATACTATTTTAATGTGTATTAGGAAAAAGTATATCAAATAAAAAGCAGTAAGTTCGGTCGGGCCGAGCTTTGAATACCCTCTACCATTTGGAAAGGATTTGGATATTAAAAAATACTTTTAAAAATCATAAAAATACCGAATATAGAGAGTTATCGTAATATGGGGGTATATACGAAAATGTGGACCTGCACAGCCAAGTTTTGTCATAGTCCATTACAATATTCAAATAGGAAACTTGAAAAAATCCGGTAAATAATATCGCAAAAACATCATAATACCGAATACGAAATATGAAAAAAATTGGTGAATAATGTCATTAAAGTCATCAAAATACCGATCATTTCCAATACCAAAAGCCCTGTAGACCAAACACACATCTGAGTAAATTTTATCAACCTACTACAAACGCCTCGGAAGCTAGAGTGATTTCCACAGATGGACAGACAGACGGATGGACATCACTAAATCAACATTGAATCATTGCTGATATCTATATATACGCTGATTCAAAGTGAAACACACTGACTTGGTTCATTTTTGCTTTGAATAAAAACGAAAATGACAGTCGTGGACTTAGGTTTTTTAACGTTATCTTTGGAACGAAACACTTTTTGACATTGTGCTTTACAGAGTAAACAGAGTTGCCATATGCGGGGACATTGGCACTAGTTTCGGCATTTTTTATTTTTCATGACTTGGTTCGGTATAGCAGTGAGCCCTTCATATTGTTGAGAGGGATACTCTTTGAAAATTAAGCAAACCCGTCTTGGCCACACACTGGGTTAAATCTAAATAATTACCCAGCCATGTGCAAATTTTGCAAAGAAGAATGGGCAAGGAATTTCAATCGAATGTAAAATAAACTGGTTCAAGCAACATCTAGAAGAGATTGATAAAGGGATGGAAAACGTGAAATAAACGTGACAATTTCGTGCCAGCCAAGGAAGAGAGAAAAGACAAGTCGTATTGTGAAATTCAGAAGTAATGCTAATTCAGTGATTTTTTTGCAATTCATACAAAGCAAATCAATTGATTTATATAAAATTTACAGTTGTCAGAAGAAATAAAATAAGATACAAAATATGTACCTTTCCTAACCAAAATAGCAGAGCAGTAAAACGACATTGAAAAACAAAATTTGTAATTTAGAAGCACAGCACCATTATTTCTGAAAAAAAAAGAAATTAGAAAATATATATTTCAATTTAAGTCAACAACATTTTACAAAATCACATAAAATCGAAGAAATATTTGGAAATAATAAAAAATGTATTGGGGCCTATTCCAAAACGGGTACCTCCATAGACAATTTTATACTTCAAGGATTGTCATCTACCAAATCTTCTAAATACCGAATTTGAAACAATTTCGTGGGTAGATGTGACTAGGATTGTTTAGTTTTGTAGAAATTGTATTTGTTATATAAATATTTTGTACTTTGAATGTAGTTCTTTAAATTCTTATCTCTATTTTATTTGTCTTTTTCGAAGAATGTAAATTAATTAAATAAAGAAAATACTTAAGATGTATGTTTTTACCATATGCTAGGCTTATGGTCGGTAATAAATAATGTAATAAATGTCACGGCCATAAATAGAGGATATAAAAGGGTCGATTACAAATAATGTACGTTTCGTTTCTTCCCGCAAATGCATGTGTAAATGCATTAGATGTAAGGTTTAGTGTAAAGAAAATGTTTTAAACAGAGTTCCCTTTCAGCCACGGAACCAGAAACATCATTTCGCGGCGTTTTCCTTTTCGTTTTTTAGTTACACCGTTTTGTAATGAGGTTAGGAGTCGACCTCATGAAAGATTCTCAAAATACCGAATATCGTTAGGTATCGTTATTTATGCGTTATAGCAAACCGTGGACAAAAATTTTCAATGTTCTGCGCTGGAGCTAAAACCCATTATGAACCAAAAATACCAATTTTAAGACAAATCGGTGCAAAAATGTGGCAAAAATCATCAAAATACTGTACGGAGTTAACATTATGTGAGGGCTATATGAAAACATGGAGCTATACATATCATGTTCCGCCACAGGGGTCAGAGTCCATTATGAACTACAAATACCAATTTTTGGACAAATCCGTGGAAAAATCATGAAAACACCGGCAATCGGGAGGTACCGTTATAAGGTGGCTATACGAAAACGTGGACCTATACATACAATGTTTCGCCACCGGAGCTAGAACCCATTTCGAACTACATATATCAATCTGTAGATCATATCGTGGAAAAAATGTGCCAAAAATTTACCAAAACGTGGACCTATAAATACAATGATCCGCCACCAGAGCTAGAACCCATTTCGAACTACAAATACCAATTTTTAGACAGATCCGTGAAAAAAATGTGGCAAAAATCATGAATACACCGAAAATAGGGAGGTACCGTTACATGGTGGCTATTCCAAAACGTGGAACCATATATTCATACCAACCATCCTAGACACAATACAAATTGTTCTGCCAATTAAGCTCTACATCAAATAAGTTGGGCTGTATTGTGATTTCAACAGTCAGACAGACGGACATTGTTAAATCGACGTTGACTTTTATACTGACTATGAATATACACTTGTGCTCGTACAATAAAGACTCTATCTCCAAACGATATATGCAGTAGATTTTTTAAAAATAACTTTTTTGTTAAAAAAAAAAATAAAATAAAAATGGAACAAATTAACGAAAATAATATATTTTCTAGCAAAAAAGTAAAAAATAAACTCAAAACAAAAATGGCACATTAAATTCATTTTAGAGTGCTCACACAAATAAGTCATTGGGACAAAAATATCGCAAACGTAATTTTTTTTAGACTTTATGAAATTCAAGCATTCTTGTGGTAAGTATGTTCTAGGGAATCCTTTTCGTAATATAATCTCTGCACACCTCTTACCCATAGAACTCACAAAGCGGAGTAGTGCTTTGTTTGCAGATTTTTTAGCCGCAGCCGACCGTTTTATGATGCACCAAAGATTTTCAATGGGGCTTAGATCGGGGCTCTGGCGGGCCAATTAACAAATTGTAAACAGTGTTTCGGGTCGTTATCCTGTTGAAATATGTAGACTAAGGGTAAACCATCGGAATAATCCCCTCTTCATTTTCCTATAGGGTATGTCTACGAAGAATATTTAGGGATGTTACAAACGAAATAACAAAGTTAATATGTCCTCCTTTTCACGCTGGAGGGTATATTGAAGATGCCACTGTGAAAAAATGCAGTGGCTACCAATTACATTCACAAAAAGCGTGCTATATATTTTTCGGCCACTGCGACGCGGGTTTTGATCAAGTCGCTTTTTTACTTTTCGAACCATTTCTTCTGATGTTGCTGTTTATTTCGCCAACTTCCTTGACATATGTCGGGCTACGCTACCAGTATCACGGTAACGAGCGATGGTACGAGACACAAAAGATTTTTTCACATTTAATTGCTGGGGTGCTCTAACGATAGCCACTTGTGGTTTCCAGACATATATAAGGAAATCACACTATCACGCTTGAATTCCATCATGAATAACTTTTTTTTTCTGAAAAATTCTCACCAAAATGCTTTTGTGCGCTTGTAAACATTATTACGAACTGTCACCGAAATGATTTTAACAGCTCTCGGACGAGTAGCTTTCAAATGACATCAGTCTTAAGTTGGTTGCAGTTTTTTCATCTCACCCTGTATTAATATCAAGAGCGTCCTAATAAAACACACCATATATAATGTCAATTTTAATGATTATATGCCCAATATATTATATATCGTTAATCGCTAAGGATGGGCGCCACTTCCTTTAGAATATTAAGTTTTAACGCTAACTTTTCTTCATAACCTATTTTCATTACTAATTCGATAAATTTCAACTTTTCCTTCTTTCTAGTTAAAGTGCGATTTTCAACTGTCCACAAGATGACAACACTGGCGGACTTTAACTAAATAACAGTGTAAGAGCAAGAGATTCATTCATGCCATTCATCGAACAAGCAAACAAAACACAAACGAAACTCACATTAAACAACAAAGAGAAGTAATGTTTTGTTGCTCATCCACATACAGTCGGTGTGTGAGCGTAACACCGAGAGAGCGAGACAGAGAGCACATGAACAGTTTTGAATTGCAGCACACATAATTTGTCTGTCAACTTAAGTTTACAATTCAGATACAAATCGTGATTCTTCAACGTAACACAGCAAAACGAAACAAAGCGACGCCATAGCAGCAGCATATTTTACGCCTTAAAAAAATCAAAGAAGCAAAATAAATTGAGAGCAAAAAAAAAAGCAAACACAAAAAAGAAAGAAATATTAAAATATTTGCTTTGATAAAAGCCAAGCGAAAGAAATAAAACAAAATCAAATACGAATACGAAAAGAGAGGGGTGCAGAGAAAACAAAAGCAAAACGAGACAAAAATAAACAAGGCTTTTGTTTAAACCAATTTGGAATTCAAACAAAAATAAAACATTCATGAAAACGTGAATTCATTTAATTTATCGATTATTTGTTGTCGTTGTTGTTCTTCTTCGCCTAACACAAAACGAAAAAAAAAGAAAAATTACGAAAGACCATCCATCCGTTCCAAACAAACGACGCTTTATACGAAGTGAGTGTGTGTGTGCGGCGTGCGTTTGAGTGTGCTTATTATTTTTCGGTCGTCTCTTTTTTTCGCCACTTCGTGCGGTGGGTCGGGCCACTTTGTTGGTTTTGTTTTATACCGATTTTAAACAAATGACAAAGACGTGAATAATACCAATTAAGGTTATGTTGTAAAAACAAAAACACGACACAAGAAACAAGAAAAATTGGCAACAACCGCCTTCAAACGAACGCAGCGAACCTGGGAAAACTACTTCAACTAAATTTTCCTTAAAAGTTACAAAAAAGCTCATAAAAGTGAAAATTTATGCCAAACCGAATAATGACAAATAATTAAATTTGAAATTTAAGTAGCTTGTATCGTTTTTCCTCCGTAGAAGGAAATCTCGGAAAAGGAAATCCCACAAAAACAGCAACATTTTTTCACGAACCTAAACTAAATGGCTGCCTTTTTTAAATCCTTAACGAAAATTTGGACTTTTTAAGTTTCGCTTTTCGTTACCGAACAAAACTTTCGCCTAAAGCGATTTAAACATTTCCATGTTAAGATATCGCCTCGTGTCGACTCATTTCTTAAAACAGCCGTAAATTGTTTAAACTCGGTGAGAACTCCGCACAGAGAAACCAGAGTAGATTAGTAGATATTTGTTACATGGATATATTCAATATTTGTTAACCCGAAACAACAACAACAACTATAAGAACAGCTGCAACAATCAATCAAAAATCTAATACTTTGCCTTGAAAAGCCTAAAAGTTTGCTGGAAACAAGTAGAGAGTTTGTTAAACGGCCTGAAAGTATGCTTCACAACGGAAATAAGTAATAGGAAATAGCATTACAGGCACACCGGAAGGCCAAGAGCAGAGAAAAGGGCAAAGCCAGAGAGAAAGAGAGCCGGTGAGTGAGTGGGCGAGAGAGTGTGGCCGTGTGTGAGTGAATGCTCTGCAAAAGGCATCACCAGTGAAGAGGGAAAGAGCCTTCACTTTTGGAAATCCGCCAGAGCAAGTAAGCCCGAGGCAAGCAATTGTAAGAGATTGGGAAGTGAGAGAGAGAGAAAGAGAGCACATAAAACTCTAAGCAGCTATATAATTTACCAATCGATTGGATCTCCTGCCTATCCCAAGCTAATAGCCTAGCCTTACCCAACGAAACATCTAACGCACTGTTCATTACAGCCATCAACATTGGTCATTAGCAACAAACGCCAGACTAGAACCTGAGCACGGATATTGGCTAGCATTCAATCAACATCATCATTGTCATTGGCTTAACTAATATTTTCCAATTGCGAGTGGAGCACTGTAACCTTTGATCCATACAATTTCAGTGTCATTGTAGGATACGCAACCTCATCTGCATCTCTTGCAAACAACCCCCCGATTGCAAGCCCACAAGACATCCAAGTCATTACTTGCCCTTCGCCAGACTTCTTTCCCAAAAGAGTTTCAATAATTTTGCCACAACGTATTCGTTAAAAGTTTTACACTTTCTCAACGATTATAATTCTCATTTAATTAGCGAAAATGTGCAGAGATCGCGATATGATTTTGCCATAGATCAACGTAATCGCCAATACAAGGTTAAGAAAAAAATCAAAATCAAGTAAAGAAGAGCGTAACCAACCAATACAAATTTCTCCACCTGACATTTACTTCATCGGTTGGTTGGAGAGCTAACCCTAAACTAACTAGGAAATCGAATATTCGAATTCGTTTCTAAGCTGTGAATTAAAGAAGCAACTCCCACCCTCCCCAAAAACCATGTGACTGCAAATCGTAAAATTTGTTCAATACACGAAAAAAAAACGCCATCTAAGCCGCCTTCCAAAGGGAGAAATTTTTGCAACGCCTAAAACTAGGCAACACTATTTTAACACATTTCCCAGAAAAAAGGAGGCAAAGCCGTAAGGAAATTTCACACGTAAAAAAGAACGCCAAACGGCTGCTACATAGAAAAGGTGTGAAAAAAGAAAAATAATCACAAGTGAAGTGAAAAAAAAAAAAAAAATAATTATCATCACTGTGTATTTGTGAGTGGGTGTATCAATGTGTTTGAGTGTGTGTGTTCATGTGCGGCACATATAACGTAATTGAGAGAAAAAAAAAATAATCAAACGGGAGTTACACACACACAAAAGAAAATCTTACCAACGACCAAAAAGTACATACGAATAAGCATAAAAATATTCGTACGAAAACACGAGGACGCAACAACAACAAAAAAGATAAGAGAAGAGATAGAAGTTTCGTTTTCGATACAACGACTTCATCAACTCGATAAAGTGATATAATTTTCTGTTTTAATTTTGTAATTTTTTGAATTACTTGGATTTTTGCCGTTTTTTGTATTTTTTAACACTTTTTTTAAACGGGCAACCCCAATACTCCGATCATCAGTTGGGTCCAGAGAAAAAGCAGCAAAATTGAAGACTTTGTAAGGAATTTGTGGAAGTCTGTTAAGGCTTGCGTTGTAAGTATTTCATCAGAATTTTGTAAATGTTATGTGATAAGTAGTTTTATTTTAGCATTTGGTTTCAGAAGACATTAAATAATATTCTGGAACTTTTTGGAAGTTCTAATCGTTTTCCTAAAAAATTAAAAAAAAAATTAGGAAAATAATTCAAGAAAAATGTAATTAAAATAAATATTGGTGCCACACTCAGATGCGTTATCCATTTTTGCTAAGAATTAAATAAATTATCACCATATTAAAGAAAAAACGTAATTTGGGAAAAACATTTTCAAATCTATCTGGATATTAGTTTTTATACCCTCAGCCATATGGCAAGAGAGGGTATATATCATTTGATACGGCCAGGACGTGTCTCATCGAAATAAAGGTTTTAGATACTAGGTCTCTTTGGACCAAATCCGTATCAGGACATTTGGAGTTGATCTAGCAATGTCCGTCCATCTGTATGGCTGGTGCGCACGATAACTATCGAAGGGAATATTCGATTTAATAAAAACTTGGTATATCATAATATTATTATCAAACATAGATCAAGTTCAGAGATGGGCAATATCGGTCAAATTCTTCTGCCACATCCCTCACAAAAGGTCGACATTTTCAAAAAATATATCTTATCGCAAAGAAAGAAAAAGGATAATTCGATTTTGCTTAAACTTTGCAAATCCAAACATGGGTCAGTGCTAGATCATGTGCGAAAATGCACAATATCGGTACACTCCATCAATCACCTCCACCACAAAGGGTCAAAATGTTGATAATTATAACCATAATAAAATGTAATGTGTCCGATTGTCTATAAATTACACATATCACAATATTTGTATGGTGTGAAGATGGAATATATCGGTCCACTCCTTCTGGTATCTCCCACACTAAGTGTCAAAATTTAGAATATGAAGCTCATAAAACACGAAATTAACACCCAATTCCATTCAGACCTGGCACGTCTCAATATTTTCATCTACAAAAGATCTGTTATAACGATGGTAGAGATCGGGCCATTCATTCTGGTACCTGCCACACAAAGGTTCAAAGTTTCGAATAACAAAAGCGATTATTAAATCCCAAATAACAACCGGTTCCCGTCATATTTCACACATCCCATTATTTCTACTTACACAATATCTGCTGTGAAGATGGGATATATCGGTCCTCTCCATCTGGTACCTCCTCCACAAAGGGTCAGTGGTTCGAATAAGCAAAACGATTATAAAACCCGATGTAAGCTTCCTGTTCTTTTCAAATTGAACACATCACAATATATTTACTAACTCAAGGTCTGGTGTGAAGATGTCATATATCGGTCCACTTCTTCTGGTACCTCCCCCACAAAGGGTCAACATTTTGAATATCCTTGAAGCTCATAAAATACGAAATGAATATCTGATTCCATTCAGACTTGGTAAATCTCAATGTTTTCATCAACACAATGCCTGTTATAAATATGGTAGAAATCGGGCTATTTTTTCTGGTATCTGCCCCAAATAGGGTTCAAGATTTTGATAAACAAAACGCTCAAAAAAAGCGTATTTATCATGACTTGAGAAACAAGTCAGCGTTTCTTTACAAATTGCTGTATCTAAATATTTCTCTCAACCAGACACCTGAGTTGAATATGGAAATTATGATTTCTCATAGCATTGGATATAAATGTTCGGTTTTCTTGTGATTTTGCCCATACCACTATTTTTATCTATATTAGATAAAGTATGAAAATGGAACGCTTCGTTCGACTATATCGTGTACCTCAAGCACATTGTAACATTTTCTAAAAATTATCACATATCTCATATAAAGTGAAGGAAGTAATCCCAACCTGACACGTCGCAATATTTATATTTAGGTGCGAAACCGTCACACGCTGCGCAAATGTTTTTCTGCGGTATTTTGGCTCATTCCTGGCAAAGCACTTGCTTGAGCTGATCGACACTGTGGTATTTTTTAGTGCCAACCTTGCTTTCCAAAATACTCCAAACATAATAGTCCAACGGATTGGTATCCGGAGATTTTGGTGGCTATTGTGCGCTGGAAATGAAGCCAGGTGGCGCGTGTTTTGATTGCGATGGAGCTGAGTCCTGTTGAAATATCCAAGATCTGCGGTCAAAATGTTTGCGTGCCCAAGGCTTTAATATACCATCCAGAATATTTTCGCTTTTACTTGATTCCTCGCCTGTTCCATCACTTTTGTTTTAGGAATTCAACCTCTTACCTTGATATCCCAAATACAAATGTTGCTTTCATATTATGACCAAATTTCAATGGAAATATTTTGTCATTAAATCTCTAATAAAAAAATAATTTACGCTGCAATTTTTGCCTTGAACCAATTTTTCCCCATTTTAATTATTGCCGATACATATAGACAATGACCATATTAATTACATCAATTATTTCTCAAAAATTTCTATAGAAACCTCAAGTGTTGAAGTACAGCAGCAACAACAACAATTGTGTTTATAATTGTCATTGATTTCTGTTTTATTTTTTTTTTTCGCTGACACACAGATAAACCTCAATTTCATCAATTTTAATTATAAACAAATAATTCATGTTTGTTGTGCATGAATCATTAACGCAACACTTGTCACACACAATGAACTAAAAAAAAAAACTTTAGCCATGATCTAATTTCCTTCAAGTTGAATGACCTGAACGATACACGCGCGCTCTGCAACTAAATGCTTGCATTATTAAATATTTAAGCCTAAAAGTAGGCTATTATTTTTGTATGTGACATACCGTGAAAAGTAGGCAATCATTTGCTGTTGTTAATGGCTTAATTTTTAAATAGTTTTGTTGGGTATATTAAGGTGGATTAAATACTTACACTCAAATTTTGAGGAATTTAGATGTGTACAAAATCTTTGGAGAGCGGGTGAGGTGAGTCGCTGGAAAAATCTAACAATTAAAAATAAATATTTAAAAATTATCACTTTCACAGCGGCAATAAAATATCACATGTGTACAATTCGGTGATTTTGTGCGCTCTCGCATAGGATAATGTGTTAGATAATAAAGGTTATGACCCACACACTCAAATATAATGATGCGCTCCGTAGATATGCAAGACCAGATGAATAAAAGGACAATCAGTCCTGAAATGTTCTCCATTCAATATTAGAATAGATAAGAACAAGGAAAGTTTTGGTTTTTCCGACAAGGAAAGTTTCCCAAGCCTTGACTTATGATTATTAAAACAGACGAGCTTTTATGGCGGAGGTTCCGAAGCAGTTGGCCAATATTGACCAATTCGTATCTGACCTAAGACGTATATAAACATTACAACATGTCAGATTAGGACTATAACGACTACTTCCTATACTTTACATGAGATGTGTACAAATTTATGGAAAATGTGGAAAATGTGCACGGTAGCAGATAGATAAGAACAAGGAAAGTAGTTTTTAGTCGGTTTTTCCGACAGATGTATACCCCAAGCCTTGACTTATGATTATTCAAACTAATGAGCTTTTATGGGGAGGTTCCAAAGCAGTTGGCCAATATTGACCAATTCGTATCTGACCTAAGACTTAAATAATTACTACAACATGCCAGATTAGGATTGTACCGATTACTTCCTATACTTTATGCGAGATATGTGCAAATTTTTGGATAATTTGGATAGACATGCGCGCGGTAACAGATAGACGAGAACAAGGAAAGTAGTTTTCAATCGGTTTTTCCCCAAGCCTTGACTTATGATTATTTAAACTGATAAGCTTTTATGGGGGAGGTTCCGTAGCAGTTGGCCAATATTGACCAATTCGTATTTGACCTAAGACTAATATAAATATTACAACATGTCAGATTAGGACTATATCGACTACTTCCAATACTTTATATGAGATATGTGTACATTTTTGGAAAATGTAGAGATGTGCGGGAGATGACAGATATAGCGGCCGAAGCATTCCATTTTCATACATCATCTTATACAGAAAAAATATTAGTATTGGTGCAAAATTTGAAGGAAATCGAACATTAATTTCCAATTTTATGCGAAATCATAAATCCCGATAAATTCCATATTCAGTTCAGGTTAAGAGAAACATTTGGATATGTTTGGATAAGTAATGGCAGATATAAGTATTGAAAATATTGGCCCTTTGTGGGTGAGGTACGAGAAAATATATATAACCTTCATAACAGATCTTGTGTTAGCAAAAATGTTTGTAAGTGGATGAAATTTGAAGAGATTTGGATACGTTTTTCGTTTCCCATGAGGGTTTTGTTTTTGGAAGGTCTTGAACCCTATGAGGAAGAGGTAAAAGAAAAAATTACGCGATATCTACCATATTTTTAACAGATCTTGTGTTGATTGAAATATTGAGATGTACAATGTGTGAATGGAATCGGATGTTAGATCCGCGTTTTATGAGCTTCATGGTTAGTCAGAAATTTGACCCTTTGTGTGGAAGGTACCGGAAGGAGTGGACCGATATATGCCATCTTCAAACCAGACCTTGGTTTTTTTTTAATAAAAATATTGTGGTGTATGTAATTTGAAGATAATAGGATGCTTATTTCGGATTTTATAATCGTTTTGCTTATTCAAAACTTTGACTCTTTGCGGGGGAGGTACCAGAAGGAGAGGACCGATATATCCCATCTTTACAGCAGATATTGTGTTAGTGGAAATAATGGGATGCGTAAAATATAAACGGAACCGGATGTTATTTCGAATTTAATAATCCCTTTTGTTATTCGAAACATTGAAACTTTGTGTGGGAGGTACCAGAAGGAATGGCCCGATCTCTACCATCGTTATAACCGATCTTTTGTAGATGACAATATTGAGACGTGTCAGGTCTGAATGGAATCGGATGTTAATTTCTTGTTTTATGAGCTTAATATTCAAAATTTTGACCCTTAGTGGTGGAGATACCAGAAGGAGTGGACCGATATATTCCATCTTCACACCAGACCTTGCGTTAATACAAATATTGTGATGTGTGTAATATATGGACAATCGGACACTTACATCACATATTATAATA